ATACTTTTAGATTATAAGAATCTTTTTTTTTTTGTGATAATGATTTAGTGATACAAGCCTGACTAATTAGCCCATAGCTGGGGGTAGAAGATGTGGATTTATACCTTTCCTAAGGGTATTTGCATGTAAGTGAATATAATAAACCCAACTGGAATTGGAACTCTGATTAACAATTCCAAACCATTATCCATTACACCACCTGCACATCCAAGCTTACAGCACCTGGTATTCCCAAGTGGTCACCCATCTAGATATTGACCAGGTTTGATGTTGCTTAACTTTAGTGATCATACAGAAACCAGTGTCTTAATGTGATATGGCTATAAGCCTTCCAAAAGGATTAGTTTATTACTTAGTAACAATAGGAAACCAATTCACAACTTCATGTCCAGTATAATCGTATAAATACTCCAAAGAGGTGCTGAAGAGTTCTCAGATTTCACCCAATTTGGCCAAAAGATCAAATATCAGAAATTTTTGGACAGACTTTTTGATTAAGGGGGTTCAGTTTATTACTTAATACAAACAGAAAATCAATCTCTGACTTTTTGTTCAGTATAACCATATAAATATTGAGTGGTGGTGCTAAATAGTTCTCAGCCCAAACCACTTCTTCCATCTGGCCAGATAACTAAACACCAGAATTTTATTTTGGATGGGCTTCCTGGTTGGGTTAATCCAAAATATATTCTGGTTTTAAATAACTCACAAAGGTTTGATAAGCCATAAAAGAAATAAAATCAATTAATCTTGGTTGGGCTGATACTGTTGCATGCAAAAACTATTTGACACAGTAGTGAAGGAGTCATTTTATTATCTAACAACAATAGAGAAACAATTCCTTACTTCATGTCCAGGATAATCATATAAGCACTCCAAAGAATTGGTGAAAAATGATTGACTCAACCCACTTCCCAATATCTGACCAATTGACTAAATAGAATTTTTCTTGTGAAATTCTTCTTGGTTATACATAATATATATATATATATATATATATATATATATATATATATATAATATAAATTAAAAATAAAACACAAACATTTTTGGTTGAAATATGGATTTTTTATTTTAAAATATATGCTATACTCTATTTTCCATAATTCTGCTACACAAGTTTCTGGTTTCATAACCTTCTTCAATGAATTTTTTGTATGGTAGTGATTCAAATGTCTTTCTTGGACTGGTGATAAGTGTTTATATATATATATATATATATATAGTTCTCTTGTTAATATTAATCATGAAATATCAGCCGCAAATGATAAATTAATAATACAGTTCTATATCGTACCACGCGAAAGAACAAAATATTAACAAGAGAACTATATGCAATATATATATAAACGCACAGACACACACACATACATATATATATGTGTGTGTGTGTAAAAATATATAGAAAATAGGAAAGAACTCGTTAGGTAAATAATCCAAAGTTCTTTAGTATTTTTTTTATTATTTTTAAAAAACAGTGCTCAATACAAAAGTAGAGCCTAAATATAATTATTTATTTAAAAATATGATTCCATCGCTACATGGAACAGAGCTTTGTACTTTAATTCAATTTAATTCAAACAATTATATTGAAGTTTCAGCTCTTGTTTTGAAACATGAGAACTCTTATGTAGCGATGGAATCATATTTTTAAATAAATAATTATATATACATATATATATATATATATAAGGATATTAAAACAAAAACATGTAGTGATTTTAAACATGTTTTTGTTTTAATATCCTAAAATAAATAATATTTAGCTCTACTCTGTATGGAGCCCACTTTTAAATTAAATGTAACATACAGGGAATTATGCTCCATTTGTTCTCATTTTACCTGGATATATATATATATATATATATATATATATATATCACAGAAGAGGCACGATGGAGTAATGGATAGCAGCTCAGATTGAGGAATTAGAGAGCTAAATTCAAATTCTAGTTCAGTTCATTATGCTATGTTTATTACATACTAATACTCTTGTGAAAGGTATGAATCCATCTTCTCTTCTGCCAGTTATTGGTAAATAGCAGGACGGACTGGATCCTATAGCCTTGGATGGCAACTGGTCTTGGAGAATAACAACTCTAAATTCAAAACCTGAGAAGGGTTGTTTTTGGCACCAGTTCTCTGTATTCTCCTCTTCCAAAAATTGTGGTCAGTTCTTTACTCATCTTCACCACTATAATCACCCTCTCATATGTTGAAAAACAACAGAGGAGGAGTCCTCCATATATCACAAAAGGCAGAACTTTCTACTCAAATGTAATCCATCATCATATGAAAGGAATAATTATATTTTTACATTCAAATATCTGCCATATTTTAAAATGGTATTTTTATGGGAGACATTTTAAAGGGAAAAAAAGAATCAAATACCATGATCATTTCCTTAGCTTCCAACTAATAGCCCAATTTGTTCTATTATTTAACCCATAAATGGAAGAGAAGAGGTGGATTCATACTTTTCCCACTGAGTATCTGCATGTAAGGGGAAATGTTGAATGACTGGAATTCAAACTTGATTATCTGATTTCTTATTCCAGAGATGCTATATCACCTGCACATCCAACATTTTAAACAACCGATTAGTTGAAAGGTGTTATCAGTCAGAATTTATCTACTAGTACTCAGATAATCTTGTAAAATAAAATCAATTTGCTAATTTTTAATTTCTAGTCTCTGGAAGTGTGAGCCTTTTGATTAAAAACATATTCTGTCTGAGGCAGTTAATGTTAAGTTTGTACTAGTGAACTTGGAAAAGGTATTAATCTACTCCATCCTTCAAATGTGAGTAAACAGCAGAGAAAATTTTGGTTCTCTAGCCTTCGTACATAATCAATTTAGGAGGCAGACAAATCTGATTCCAATCCAGGGGTGGGGCTTCTAAATCCAACTTCTTTCAATAGGTCAGATTATATTTATGAGATAAGAAAATCAAATATTTATTTGAATAAAAATCAGTTAAGCTCAAAAATAAAATCTTTAACTTTTACTTGCGATATGATGAGAAGGTGCTGAAAAGTTCTAATTCTGGCCCACTGGAGTATTAATGCCATATCCAGGTTGGAGCTGCCCAATCCACACTTGCCTGTCTTGATAGAGTTCAAAAGTGTGTATGTGGCCTTGTGGGTGATGAATTAATTTTCATTCTATAAACTCTTTTCCAATAAACAAAACATTACTTAGACCTCACCACTCCTGACCTTTACAACTGGGACCCACCATGCTATGTATGCAAGTGTGAATCACCCCCATTCCCTTCATATTCCACTGGTAATCAGACAGCTTCTTCCCAAGAACTGCTGCTTTGAGGAATAGATTCCTGGCAGGATGTTTTCCCAATCACTACAATCTCAAGTGTAAGGTTAACTATTAACTTTCCAGTAATTCCCCATGAACTTCACTTCTTGCCTTTTCTTACACTCCTACAACATCACACAGTAACCCTTTCTCGAGTGGCTCTTAGGCCTTGAACATTAGTATAAGAAAAGAAAAATAAACTTTCCAAGATCTGATCCCAAAATATATATATATATATATATGTGTGTGTGTGTGTGTGTGTACAAATATATAGAAAAATAGGAAAGAACACGTTGGGTAAATAATTCGAGGTTCTTTAGTATTTTTGTTTTTATTTTTAAAAAAACAGTGCTCAATACAAAAGTAGAGCCAAAATTATAATTATTTTTTTTAAAATATGAGTTCTCATCTTTCAAAAACATTTTTGGAATAATTTCACTTGAGGATGAAACAGTGTTTGATACTTTAATTCAATTTAATTTTAATAATTATATTGAAGTTTTTGGCTCCTGTTTTTGAAAGGGTTCCATCTACCCAATTTCACTCACAAGGCTTGAGTGAATTTATGATGTGATTTTCAGGCACTTTCCAAAGGTGCTGCACACTGTGGATGGTCTTCTCCAAATCAAGAAGTCACCTCCTCCCTGACAAATTCACCATGGTGAGATTTGAGTCTCATGGTCAGAAAGCAAACATTGTAACCACTCAGCCATGTCCCCATACATACATACATACATACATATATATATATATATATATATATATATATATATATCCTCTGGTTGGTTTAATGTAATGCAAAAAGAATTCTTACCTTTTGATCTTTGGTAATGCAGAAAAGAACAAAGAAGTACAATAATGACCTTCCTGGATTCATTGACCCTAGAAATTCTTAGTAACTTTATCTACATCTGGAAATGTATTAATATATATTTATTTAAACATCACAGGAACTTTTTTTTAATTATTTGCTTTTTCAACTATTATCATTGTTGTATTTAAAAATATTTTATAGGAATTTAAAAGCTATATGAAATTCAATGACTTTTTCCCATTTTCACTTGAGAAAAAAAAAATTGAAATAATTTAAAATGGAGATGCTTTCACTGAAGCCAAATGAAACCAAAGACGAGATAAAAGAATCTCTATATTTTCACATCAATAAATGAATAAACATGTCTCACCAATAGAAAAGCTGCCTAAATTTTTAACAGCTTCAAATATAAAACTTTTCAATTCCATTAACCTTTGTACTGAGAATCCCTACAATGATGTGTTTCAGTCAAAAGAAAATTAAGATTTCTCATAGTTTGGCACAGTTCATGCTGCTCCAAATGGTCACCCATCTAAGTTACTTACTTGGTTCAAAACTGCTTAACTTAAGTGATCTAGTTGTGATTTGACTGTAAGCACTATGCTAAAATTAGATTAATCTAGCACAAGGCCATAAAAATTGAGCATCCAGTAATCAAACTTATTACAGAATAGAGCTGCTCAGTCTGTATTTCCATCCTTGAAAGAGTACAAAACCATTTACATGGTCTTGTGGGGGTGGGGAGACTTATTCTTCACTTTACAGCCTCTTTCCTGCAGATACAACACTGCAAGCCTGTCACTAGTCCATCGCTATTTCCATGGCAAATGTTCAGATGAGTGCTATATTTTCAATGTGATATGGCTGTAAGTCATATCACATTGAAACACCAGTTCCCATGTGATCACCAATTAAGCAATGTTGAGTCTGGTCAGTACCTAGATGGGTGACCACTTGAGAATACCAGGTGCTATAAGCTTTGATGTGTGGGTGGTATAATGGATAATGACTTAAAATTGTTAATCAGAGAGCCATGTTCAAATTCTTGTTGGGTTTGTTATATTCACTTACATGCAAACACCCTTGGGAAAGGTATGAAGCCAGCCCTTCTCCCCCCCAGCTATGGGTTAATTAGTAAGTCTTGTATCGCTAAAATATCATTATCTCCAAAAAAAAAGAAAAATCTTAGAATCTAAAAATATTATCTGGCTTTAAATAACTTACAAATGATTGATAAGCCATAGAAAACATATCAGTCAACCAATGTTCATTAAGTTCACTGATCATTACTCTACTGATCATAATGGAAATTGGTTGACTGATCATTACTCTATAACAAAGTACTCACTATATATCTAAAGATATTTAGTAAAAACCTAAGTCTGGTTCAAAGCCATAAGTGAAGAGCACTGATCGTGGATCAAACACTGTGAACAGTAGTAATGTCTTGTTTGATTACAGTGAGCCCCTGCCTATCCACGTTTCAGCATTTGCAGCTTGACACATTTGCAGATTTTTCTTTAGAACATATATACTTGTTATTTGTGGAAACCCGAAATATTCAAGCGTTTTTCTGAAGAACATATGTACAAATCATTTGCTGAGAACTCCCTTGATTCACATATTTTTTTCATAGAACATATTTAAAATATTCTTGTATTATTTTCCTGTTATTTAAGTAACTTAAAATATATAACAGTCCATTTTTAAGGTAAAAATTGACAGAATTGTACATCTACATTATAAAAAAACAAATGCAAAAACATGCATAGTGCATGGGCTTTGTGTTAGGAGCTGTGGCTGGGGTTATAAAAGTGGCTTCTGTTAATCATCACAGTCCTGTTTACAGAAAATATTTTAAACTTTATATTTTATGTCTTGTTACACATATTTTATACAGTATTTTCAATGGTTGTATTGATCTATGTGTAATTAAAAATAGTTATTGTACATATGAAAGAAAATTTACACTAAGTGTATGGTCACCATTACTATTTTTCAAAAATATTTTAAAAAGGGTCTGAAATGTTTCTAAAGTGTTTAGGATAAAAGTTTATGGCATATAGGGTTTTAACAATCAAAATAGGTACTTATAAGCACTTTTAGGGTGGGGTACAAGTATACCCAGATTCTAAATATTCACAGCTGGTTCTGGTCCCTAACCCCCGCAAATACAGGCGACTCACTGTATCTCATTAACCATTACACGATGGTGAAGTACCCTTAAAATTTTTATAGAAGTTAAAGATTTCTTTTCAAAAACAAATCAACAAGATTTTCTTTTATATGCTGTGTCTCTTCAGGACATAGACGGTTGTGGCTCTCTACAACATCCTGTCCCATGTTGCTTTAATCAACTTTTGACTCTTTACCATCTGTCATTGTTCCCACTCTGCTTTCAATTCTCACAAATTTGTGAGTGTAGAACACTAGTCCCATTTTCTCCAAAGCCAGATCCCAGAAATCATGAAGATATTCCATGTAATCAAAGCACTCAGTTGAGGAATCTTTCCAGACAGTGGGACCACTATCTGCCTGGGAGGACCCAAGCACCTACATTGCATGGGTCTCAAGGAAAGTAACTTGATCCCATCCTAAAAAGTTATTTGTGCAGTAGGAGGTTCAACCCTTATAAGCCAGGGATGATTGCCTGTTCAATTTTTGTGTCGGAGAAATGTCAACAAAGCAAGCATTGTATATCTGCAATAACATCAATAAGCTATATTTTAGCAAGGCCGCCTGTATTGATGTAGGCATACTGTTAATATTCTTCTACTCACTGTTTCCCCTCAGTCCTGACTTCCTTCAATATATCCTGGAAGGACTTACTGCCAAATCACATTGAAAGATAAGTTCTTGTATGATCAACAAAATTAAGAAACATCAAGCCTGGTCAGTACCAGATGGATGACCACTTGGAAATAACAGGTGCTGTAAGATTGTTTATTGCAACGAATAAAAGTTCTGAATTGGAAATCAGACAGCTGAATTCCAATTCCAGTTGGTTTTGTTATATTCACTTTCATGCAAATGCCTTTGGGAAAAGGCATGAATCCATCTGTTCTCCCCTTAGCTATGGATTAATTAGTAAAACTTGTATCAGTAAATCATTATCTTCAAAAAAAAGAAATTGTTACAATCTGAAAATATTTTCTGATTTTAAGTAACCGGTAAAAGGTTGATAAGTCATAAAAAACAAATCAATCAGTGTCCTGTGAGTGTTAAATTTCTCACATTTTTTTCTGTGTCCCAAAAATTTTAACTCTTCTTTTCTGAAGGATATAACCTTATTTTCTCTGAAACTTCCTCATTACTCACATGTTCAGTCTATGCCCTTCATCAAAGTATTTGTTTATCTATTATATCATTTTTTTTATCTGGATTTTATATGGCTTCAAAAATATTTTGTTTAATGACATTTGTAGTTTTCAATAAAATATAAATATTGGCTTCATGAAATAAAGAGTTGGTTTTATGTATGACAATTAACAATATTTAGTCTTTTCATAGGCCAAGGCTCGTCCCTTGATTCTGACAGCTTTTGCGGTTGTTTTCTTTCGAGAACTTTGTATATAGTGAAATTCTCAAAAAGCAGTTCAATGGATTGAAACATTCTTACATTAATTAATAATACAGGGTGCAGTAGAAATACACCCCACATAATAGTAAGATATCAGTTGCAATTTTTTCTTCACCTAGATAATATCTTACCATTATATAGGAGGTATTTTTAGAGCTCTTCAGTGTGATATAATATTTAGCAAGTTTCTCTCACTGGTTCAATTATGACTGAGTAGTGAGTTCAATCTTCAGTACTGACTACATACTTTTGACCTTATGCCACATCTAAACTAGGTTTTATAAATCATTATGTGGGAGGTATTTCTATTGCACCTTGTATTTTTCAAATTTACAAAATAAATTCTCAAAAGAAATGTCAACATTACATACTTTCCTCTATTCTCAAGCTATGCTCTAAATGTTAAAGTGGTTACCACTTTCAGATTACTATCAACCAATTTGCTAACATTTGGCTGATGCTGCTCATTCTGGTAAATCATAAAATCAAACTTGAGTTAGGTGGATTTAAAAGAGAAATGAGGAGAGAAACATTTATAGAGTTCTCACTTCCTGAAATTCAGCAATGATGTTGAATGTATTCAATGTAGAATGGAAATGAATGAAAATGAAGAGAATTGTCTCCCTTACATTAGAGAGTTCCTCACTTCCTTAAATTCAACAGTTAATTTCCTGTTTTGCATTAAAGTGTCTATTGGAAAGGCAAGTAATAACTTCCTAGTCACAATGTTTTCTAACTTCAGTTTAAAGCATCACTCAGTTGGTCAATGCTGCTTCTTCCTGCAAATCATAAACTTAAATGAGCAAAGAAGTGAAGAAGAATTATTTTTCACAGCAGAAAATGGCTTTATCTGAATAATGAAGAGACAATCATTTATAAAAATTACAAGAAACAAAATTCAGAATAACAATTTTTTTTAAAATCTGGATATGCATATTAGTTATCACCATTAAATAAGAATGGCTAAGTTGGACATGATATAAGACACATGCTTGTAAATATAAAGGATAAAAAGGCATGTATTTGATGTCAGTTTAAACTTGTTTAGTTTTTGCATGGAAACATATACATTGAGCTTTATATATCCACTTGAATATGTATATATATAGGTAATAATCAGTTGATATATAATACAAGTGAATGCTAATAATATAAAATATTAAAACAGTTTCATAAAGAGAGAGATCAATGTATTTATTATAACAGAGCATATAAATTACATAGATTAGAAATCCCAAATTACCCCATTCGAATAGCTCTTTTGGCCTACTTGTAAGCCTTGTCAACTCAGAGGTGTGTGTGCATATATATATATATATATATATGTGTCTGTGTGTGTGTTTATTTTATATATATATATATATATATATATATAGTTTTAAGATATGCTATATTTATGTGTAAAAGTGCTCATTATCAGTGATAGAGCATATGTAAATATAAAAGTGGACAATAAAGTCAACACCCAGCAATGACAGTCTGTTTCATGCTTATACGTAATCATCAGGCCATCGATTGCAGTTGTGTATAAATATGAAACACACTGTCATCATTGGGTGTTGACTTCAATGTCACTTCCATATATGTGTGGATGTGTAGTTATATGGCTAAATCTGTCACAGAAATAGTGCACCCAGTAAGGAGGAAACACACAAAGTTTATCCACATAGCAATCTTGTAAACTATAACTCTACAGTAAGAGCAATCATTGATGAGTGCCTACCGTAGTGCTATGACTGTCAAGTTCATATGTGCACTTGCTGCATATTAGAAAGCTGTACCTCTACACACATATTTTCAGGAGTAGAGGTTTATCCCTTGTTTCATGTTCCTTCACCTAAAATCTTCTCATTTTCTTTCACCCCCAGTAAGCCCTTGAATCTTAGTGGCATTATTGCCTTGCTTGGGGTGAAATGATTTAAAAAAAATATAATGCTTAGATGGGTAAATAAAAGATGTATATGTATCATGCATATAAAGTGTGTACACACACACACACACACACACACACACACTTTATTATAGTTAAAAGATTAAAAAAGGGCATTCCTTGTCCATCCGAGTGCTGCTTATATCTGGTGAGGCCAATATTCTTGTTGCAGCAGCTCAGGATACGGATTAATTTTAAACCATTTCATCCCCAAGTAAGGCAATAATGCCACTATGTCACAAGTGGTTACAGGAAGTGAAAGAGGATGAGAAAACTTTACTAAGGAGGAATGAGGAAAAGGACAATAAAGGAACAGGGTTCAGGAAGATGATGATTGTCATTGCATTTGAATTTTTGAAGATTATAGGTGACAGGGAAGCGGGGAATTGGAAGGTGAAAAGTGTGAGAAAAGAAACTAATAGAATCGAAATGACAGTTGCATCTAGCTAATTCAACAGTAAAACA